CCAAATTTTTAATTTGATTTAATTTTATTTAAATTTAAATTGTGTCTATTATTGGATAAGTAAAATAAAAAGAATTTTTCCCATCCACTCATCCTTCTTTTCTCAAGGGTTGTAGGGTAATCTAGGCTCATACATTAATCTTCCTAACCTGCTTTAAATCGCCTTCTTTTATTTTTAGTGTATTTGGTTTTTGCTTACTCTGTGGTGAAGAAGGTTTTTTCTATCCAAGGCCTCCCACCTCACTTTGACTTTCTGTTTTTTCAGTTTGTCAGTGTGCCTTTTACTTATGACTTTTTCTATCTTTTGTGCAGTGTCAAAATAGTCGTGTCTCTCAGTATGTGTTCCGGCCATTTCCCCTTATTAGAGTGTGTTTCTCCTGTATGTTACATGTATGTACCCTTTCCCCATACATGGAAAAGCAGAATGATTTTTATTTCCTTAAAGTGGATTATGTGACTGAGGAGGTTTATTCGCCATCATCATGCCAAGGACAACTGCTGTGTTATCAGAGTCAGGGGTTAATCTAATAATTCTCATAATGTTTGCTGCCTCAAACCAGATGTATCTATGCATTAGTTCTAGATTGTTCAGCTTGGAAGCCTGCCCTTTTTATTTTTGAGAAGTTTGGATTCAAGTCTTTTTCATTCCTTGAGGATTATATATTGAATTGTATTTTCATTATCTGATTTTTGCTCTGCCTGAAGAAGACTGTGACTTCTGAGGTTTTTGTTTAGCTTGGATTGATGAGGTAGGTTAGTTTATTTATTTATTTATTTATTTTTTAGGGACAGAGTCTCACTTTGTCACCCTCTGTGGAGTGCTATGGTCTCATAGCTTATAGCAACCTCCACAGCTCTTGGCCTTAGGTGATTCTCTTGCCTCAGCCTCCTGAGTAGCTGGGACTATAGGCACCTGCCACAATACCTGGCTATTTTTTTGTTGCAGTTTGGCCAGGGCCGGGTTTTAACCAACCACCGTTGGTATATGGGGCCAGCGCCCTACTCACTGAGCCATAGGCGCCACCCAGTTCATTTAATTAATATATATTAGACATCTCCTATGTGTTAGTCGTCTTTTAGGGTACTACAGCAACAATAAAAGGTGCTAGTTATGTTTGCATTTATTGTTTCATTAGGGAAATGGACATTAATCAAGTAAAATGTTAGATAATAATGTATTTAGAAAAAAGAAAAACAGTGAGATTATTGATAAAGAATGACTAGGCCCTTAAAGTACTATGATGTAGTACTTTAGATTTAGTAAATAGAGAAGAGTCAGTGACATACGTCAAGACAGAATCATAGTTGTATATTGTCCCTTTCATATGGTGATGGTGATCTAAGGAACTTCCCCTTTGAAACTTCTAGAGATCTGTCCCTTTGAACCCTTTAAACCTGCCAGAAATTTTTGTGGAAAACATGGCTCTTAGGTGAATTCCTATTGATAGAGTTTGAGATATTTTTCCCTCTCAAAATGATTATTTTCCTCAAGCATGATTATTTAAAATAGATCTATTTTTCCTTAATTCAGCCCCCCAAAATCTGCCATTATCAAAACAAATGTGTATTGCTGTGATTTAACTGTACTTCTAAAGGCAAACTATATTATCAGTCTCTCAACTTACTGTGCAAGGAGGATTTCACTTGTCTTTTACATGTTTTACGTACAATATTTAGTTCTTCGTATACCTTTTGTGCTTAGTAGAATATATGGGATATTGCATGCACATCACTTTTATGGGTAGATCTCTTACTATCAAGAGACAACGTAATGCGTTCACTGGGCTTTTTAGAAATACTTAGAAACTATAGGCTTGGCGCCTGTGGCTCAAGTAGCTAAGGCGCCAGCCACATACACCTAAGGTGGCGGG